TTTCAGTCGCATTGTCCCAAGGTTTTTAAAGCGAACGAGAGGCAGACAAACGCAACGAACGAATTGTAATTTAAATGGGCGAACATCTTCCACGTTACGTAATAGGTAATAGCGAGATAATTTTACAGTGCCGCGCGTCTCTACCATCGTCGACGACAAATTTAACTTTTTGCAATTCCTTCTCGATAAGTTAAGTTCCTGTAGGTACAAGGCCGATCAAATTCGATGTTTTTAAAGAGAAAAAAGGTTTTCAAGAGATGTGTTGGTGTCTGAGGCTCAACATTCATAAAAAAACAAAGTGACAGTTTAATATTTATCAAGAGAAAAATAAATCTTTGCCAGTATGCAGGTATATTTTTTAAATGAATTGAAAATTTGCAAAAATCTGTTATTGATATTTTGTTCGAACTGTTGGAGTTTTAAAATAATCTTTCAAATAAATGACATATGATAGCTTATTTTTAAGAAATCGACAGAATAAGCAAGTAAGCACAAGGAAGAACACAACTTCTTAAATACATTTTCGGTTGTTAGAGACACATCCTAATTAATAGTGATCAGTTTAAGATGAAAAGGCCAAAAAACTATACAACAAATAAGGATATGGAGTTACCATAAATAGTGGTTTCAACGTAAAGCCTAATATTCTAAGAAAAAACAAATTGTCAAGCCCGGCAGAAATAATCAAGCATATTTTACATATGCAGTTTAAAGTACATGCAAAATTTGTATCGTGTCTATCGGGCTTTAAAGATAAACTCCTGGACAAAATCCACGGAACATGATTTTTTTCTAAAATTATGATCCGATTTGAATTTATTTCTTTTTGCATTGTAGGTTGGTACCTTAACAATGTCATAGTTTGCGCTGGTAATGATAAAAAGTTCATTTTCGATTTATACCTGTAATAAAAATTTTGTGTTTTTCCGAAAATTCGTATCACCCTGTGAAGTATACTAGCAATCGAAGTGTATAACAGTGGTAACCGGTACGGCATTGCGACTTCGCACCTTTTTTTTTAGAGCATCCCTGTGAGGTGGTCATTTCTATAGAGTTCATGTAGTCTATAACTTGTCTAGCCACGTGGGAACGAGCATTATCCTGCATAAATAAACTATTTGGTCCCAAAAAAGGAGCAAATGGTACTATATGTTCAATTACAATGTTTTCTAGATAATAATCAGCGTCCATTGATCTTACGTATATAGGGACTAACTGCTAGTATACTTCGCAGGATGATACGAATTTTCGGCAAAAACACGTAATATTTTTATTACAACCGGTATAAATCGAAAATGAACTTTTTATCATTATTAACGAAAACTATGACATTGTCAAGGAACTAACCTACAATGCAAAAAAAACATTCAAATCGGAAAATAAATTCAGAAAAAAAAATTATGATGTGGCGTTAATTTTTTAATTAAAATAATCAAATAAAATCTGTAACACCGAATGGATTCTTTCCAATGGTTCTTTTAAAAATGGTATCGGTTACGCGATTTTTGAAATGTATTTTTCTACTCCTGTCTGTAAAATACCTAATCACGCACCGATCTAGCGTGCGGGAAGCGTCACTTTACCACGTCAGTTTCGTTTCCCACGGATCCAAGCCACTTCGGACATTTCCGGGATTAAAGCAAAATCCACCATTTGACAACTACCAGTACGCATTTGTTGCCTCCGTCCAAAACTTAGTTAATTAAAGTTCAAAACTATTTTTTTTCAATACTTTCAACTTGCAATGAGGCTGCTTGAAGAATTGAGTAGAACATCGAAGTTCGATAAGTACGTCATTGTTGTGACAGAATGTTTGACAGTTACAGTATTCGAATAATTTCGTCAGTTGTCTAACTACCCTAGACGTAGGTCTCTAAAATCACCTCCCAAAATATTTCTTCGTTATGTCCGAATAGGTATAAACGATAAAACGTTATAAACTACAACTGTCGCAACAATTTTTATTGGAATATTAAATGAAGATAATCATTCGGAATTAACGATTACGGGTACATTTCTGAAATCCTCATAGCTATCTTACAAAGAAACACTGACTTCATCTTTTATACGACATTATTGTAAAACAATAACTATAATAACGAGAGCAGCACTTTTGAGGGACAATGTGGTTTACCCAACAAAGAGATAAAACGCTGAACTGCCAGATTTTCAGGTAATACAACAAACGATAAGATTTTCCTTCAAGCACTATTCCAAATGATAAAAAAATGAATTTACTTGCAAATTTTAAAAAACGAATCTAATCAGGAGAAAAATTATGAACTCAGGGACCTCTATTTTTAAAAACCTATATTTCATTAAAAGCAAGAGAGAGAATCTCCAATTATTTTTCAGTTCACAGTTTTGTTATGGCGGAAAGATCCTGGCAGCCGTGTCCAATATCAAAGTAATTGAAGAAAAATACGTTTCCATCTAATAAATGTATGTTTATATCTCCTGTATGTTAAGGTGCTTGTTACGCAGATTCTCAAAAAAAAAATTGAATATTTTATATTTATGTACTGCATTAAGTTTAAATTGTTTTTTTTTTGCATGTCTGATCTAAATTGATAAACATTCTCTGGAAAAGTACGAAAAAACCGTAAATAAATAAATAAGTAGATCAAACCACATAATCGCTTCACTGAATGCATATTTGATTATATTGGACCACCGTTTTTAAGTTATTTATTCAGTTTCATAACAGAAACCTAAGCAAATAGATATTATTTAATGCTTAAACTAGGTACAACGGAACTTGATTTTATATGATATTTCTAATTATACTTCTAGTAGCAGCTTCACTAAATTCAGTCAGATGTCTACCAAGATCCTCACTCCACAAACAAGAGTGGTCACGTCTAATTTACTGGGTCATGCCCAACGCTTTTCCGATAAAAATCCCAAATATTTTTCATATGTGTTATATTGTTCTATGCCGTTCAGTAGTCTTCGCAGTTATTTTTTATGTAATTTAATGTTAGATCTATAGGAAATTCGGAACTGATTATTTGAAAAATGTAGACAGTTTCCTCAATATTTAGCAATAATTAGCGATGATATTGATTCATAAGTGTGGCTATCAAGCAAGCAAATAAACAATAACAAAACAAATAAAATATATAATATATAAATTTTGTATACCAAACAAGAAAATTATTCATTTAATTTTCTAGTTCCTATATGAAAATGCCACATATTAATGAAGACACAATCTAAAGTGTTCGAATGGTGATCAAGTGCTTCCATCTCTAAAGTTGTTGTCAAACTAAAATACCTTTTCAAATAATAGAATGCGAATTCTTCACTCAGTTCACCATAGTATATATCGGTCTATCGCCCAGGGTCATAGACATTGTAATACAGGTCTATATGTTGGTTGCATAACAATTACGTTTTTTTTTATCTAAAAATAGGCAAGTTGATTTAGATTCTGTTGCAAAACAAGTCAATCGATCCGAAACCATTACTTTTTTAAATAGGTTTCTTATTAAGACTAAGTTTCCACATTTAAATAAATAATTTGCGGATTATATTGCATAAGCGGCAATCAAACGCACAGTTATGCATCCCTTCGAAATTGGAATAAGTTTTTCTTTAATTGGTAAATAAATGTATCACATAAAGCAAATTTAATAGATAGTTCGTTCACAAGAATTGAGACAATTCTAACTTCTTTAAATTTTGCATTTTTACATATTTCTGTCAATGTAATAAATACTGGGAAGATAAAATCACCTCAATTACAGTTACAAACATTATTTGTTTACGATTGAAGATGTTTCTTTTACAAAACAAGATCGGTTTGAAATACATTTGTTCATTTTTTAAAGATTAATGACAAATTAAAGTAACAACTAAATGTATTTAGTTAAAGTTGTCAGTTTTGTATTTGATTTGTATAATTCTAATCTTATACTTAAACTTAAATTTTTATAAAAGGCACGAGGATTTGGTGGTTTTTTCAGGATCGAGATTTTTTTAAAGATTGCTTAATTCAAAATTTGAACAGCAACTGATTCTATTTTATTTTCTAATCTCTCTAATTTTAATGACGAATGCGCTAAATAATGTAAAAATGTACACTCAAGTATTTAAGTTTAAAGTTTGAACTAATTTCACTGAATATATTTAAACATGAATACCGTTATTACTTGTGATTAGAACATTTTTAGAAGAAGAAGAAACAAGTCAAATTTCTCTCTGAGAAATAAAGGGATGGGATTGACAAGTATTTCAGGGAGACGCAACTGGATGAGGACGTTTGTAGAGTCAGATATTTTAATTTTTTTAATTTCTTTGTTACGTTATGTTATCGTTTTATTTGGTAAATTCGGCAAAATTAGACAATAATAACTACCGGTAAATCCACCTTTTTTTTGAGCGATAAATTTTTTATATAATATTTCAGGTGATGATAAAAATATTGAGATGCAGTTTCACTGGGTTGTTGCGCCCTTATTTGACTAATAACGAAAAAGAAGTCATATCGTTGAATTTTTTATATTTCGTCAAGTGATTATTTTTTTGAGATTATAACAGACATCCTTACCTCATAGCGCGATTGATAGTCTCTTAGAGATTGAGCAAGCAGCAATAAACAAAAGATATTTTAGATAGCTAAATTAGAAATTTATGTACAAATCTTGTTTTAAACAAGATACCAATTACGCCGACTGGTGACGGTTTCAGAAACTAATTATTTTTCACTCCTTCACTTTCCCTTTGCCGATTTCCCCAATATATTTTTTTTAATTTCTAGATCAGTCCGTTTCCGTGATACTGTACCTCATTGCCTTTACTGGAACACCCGGTATATGTTATTTTGTAACATTTTTTTCAAATGATCACCCGGTATACCCAGTCCCATCAAGTTTGGCAAGTATTTCTACGCGGGTCCCCCTCGCGGCTACTTTAGCATCAAAAGTATCATTAATATGCAAATGGACGCGCGCCCATGAGCCTAGCCGCGGGTCGGTCAGTAACGCCGTGGTGGGGACTTTTGTATAACCAAGAGATACTTAATTCAAAAGTACGAAATTGATCGTGCAAGTGCGATTGCGGCAGTTAGAAGGGGGACACTTGTGTACGCGCTCTCCAATAATACGCCGATATATGGTCGACGCTTTTATTTGCTAAAGACACACCACGCCAACAGGTAAGTGGGTTTACCGTTTTTTTTTTGCGATATGTACCGCCTAACTGGTTTGGCTACATGCGGGATTCCGTTTCACGGAAAATTAACAATACAAACAAAATAATATCGTTTTCCCGCCATTATTAAATTACCAACCAGTCACCATTATAAAATAGAAATATTCGTTCTTTTAGCAAAATATATATAAAGTTGCTGTTAAAGCGAAAACTTTATATTTATGTTATTAAATATTCAATACAATATACATAAAAACAATAAAAAACAACACAGATAAAACACTAAGGTCTTTGCGTTTTAATGCAGAATATTCCAACGCATAATTTCATACAATGTTCAATTTTTCAATGTTTTGAAAATAACAACGAAACATATCAAGCGCTTCTACACTTTTAAAAGCTGCAATCTTAATAATGATTTCCCAAAGCACACTTGCATCTTATAAATTTCGCATTTCGTGTTGACAAATGGGCAACATTTAATGAGTGTTAATTAATATTGACATTTTATATACAAGTTTTGAATTTGAACAGTAAATTTATATATATTTTGTTAAAAGAACAAAAATTTGGATTTTATAATGGCAAGTATACTAATAATATCCCCAAAGATGCGATATTATTTCGAGTTTTTATTTCTTTCTAAAAAAGCTGGTTTGTTTTTCAGACTTACGTAGAAATAAAATTTGGACATTTCAGTTTCATTTATTATTATATATCTTTTCAATTGAAATCCAGTGACGCACTCAGGTCTTTTGTAAGGGGTGTTTTTTTTTTCGATGTATAGAACTTTAAGTTGCAATAAAACAACGATAGATTATTCGATTGACATGAATTTTAATCATCCGAAAGATAATCTTGTGGCATTACATTTTAAATATGATTTCTGGCATATGACCTCCACGGCTGGCGCGGATGTAGTCCAATCTGGACATCCAATTTTCGATGACTTTTTCCAACATTTGTGGCCGTATATCGGCAATAACACGGCGAATGTTGTCTTCCAAATGGTCAAGCGTTTGTGGCTTATCTGCATAGACCAATGACTTTACATAGCCCAGCAGAAAGTAGTCTACCGGTGTTAAATCACAAGATCTTGGAGGCCAATTCATCGGTCCATAACGTGAAATTAGGCGGTCACCAAACGTGTCTTTCAATAAATCGATTGAGGCACGAGCTGTGTGGCATGTTGCGCCGTCTTGTTGAAACCAGATCTCCTAGACATCATGGACATCTGAAAGTACGGATCAATGATTCCACCAGCCCATAAAGGGCACCAGTCAATTTTTCTGGATGTAACGATGTTTCGACATATACTTGAGGATTAGCTTCGCTCCAAATGCGGCCGTTTTGTTTGTTGGCGTAGCCATTCAACCAGAAGTGCGCTTCATCGCTAAACAAAATTCGCTTACGAAAATCGCAACAACGGCAATCTCATTTTGGGCCCATTTGCAAGCGTTGTTTAGGCGTGACTTTATTCATTATGAATTGTCAAACCAAACTGAGAATCAATCACTTGACAGCTGCTAAATCGGTCGCCATCTTGAGCAGTAATGCCAACTTAAAGTTCTATACATCGAAAAAAAACACCCATTATAAGATACTAACTAAATCTAAATTTGTTTCACCGGAACGTCATGCTCTTTTTTTAAATATCATTGTGCTCTGTTTTAAGTAAACATATATTATGACATTTTAGAATACATCCTTCTATTCTATCCTAATTTTCTATTACTTAATTAATTGAAAAAATCCGAATTACAGAATCCCAAAAAATAATAAAGACTGCGTCATGTTTGCTATATAAATAGTAAGAAAATAAGAGTACGCTATGAAAATGTTGGGTATCTATTTCATCATGGACTACGACAATAATGCAATCTGGAATACCATTTGTTTAAGTATATTGTATAATTTTTGAGGCAGCAAATCAACAAGTGCAAAATGTTTATATTATATTCTGCTCATTCGAATTTTTAAAAATTATAAATGTCTTTCATTTAATATATAGAGTTCTCCAAACGATATTCCGTTTTTAAAACGTTTTATGGTTTTGACTTAAGAATGAGTTCAAGACCCGCTTGTTGTAAAGCAGACGGCACCATTCTATTCAGCAGGTGTGCCACAAGCCAGGACCATATTTAAGATGTTAGTCGACAAAAACTCTGCCGTGCGGTTTGTTGTATTTTAATAGTAGGATTTAAAACTAAGAATGGATTTTTTATTAATAATAAACTCTACACAAATACGTCAGCTTTCAGCATTTGTATGCACGGAGTACCGAAGTACGGTTCTGGAACGTCATTGTGTAATTGCCCAACTGTGTTCAAAATTGAATTAGGATGTCTACTGTAGGAAAAAGCAGTGGTGCGCTGAAAATTTTCTAAAGGGCTGAAAAATTGAAATGCGGAAAAAAATCATTGCAATTTATATTAACTTTACCATATAACCTTCAAGTTCCACCCTGCAGTTGGCCGATAGCATCCCTTTTAATTGTAGTTATTAAGCCAATGAATATCCTGTGCCACGTGCCATTGTCAATCGGGGGCAGTTGAGTTCTATCCGACAGAGAAACAAACTTATTTTGCTTGAAAAAGTTGAATTTTATATCCAGCACCGAAAATTCAGCAAGCATTTTTAAATGCTGTCTAAGTTCGTAATCAAAACAAATACATATTTAAACATCGACGTCATTCTCGATTGTCCTAATCGGCAGGAGGAGATAAAAGTATTTGTAAACTTAGGGAAGAGCGTCTATTAAAATCATAAACAAAATTTCACAAAACGGCGCCGGAAGGAATTATAATTAGATCGACAAAAAAAAACAACGGCGAATGTCAAGCAATTGGTAGCTGACCTCAGCGAAAATTACGTCGATTAATTTCGTATGCTAAATATAATATATACGGATGGTGAAGTGCATAATTTGATTTTCTATTAGCGAGTGGCTCAATTGTTGGCGATACATTTGTTTGTCTTGTAAATAAAACAAGTATTTTTAAAAACTGTTTGTATTCAGTTATAGTTTCAAAGTCTTACCATTTCTGATATATTTTGAATTTTACTTCAGGACTGAAATTTGCAGTACTAAATAGGTCCATTGATTTCTCCTACTGAAAGATATCTAGAGTTGATTTCATACTTCAGTGGTCTGTTTAGGTATTTTCAAAAAATAAATAAATACAAAGTGATCAAAAACTAATATTCAAAATTTTAATGAAAAAAATCGTTAGACATCGTTATTTAAATAGAAACGTAACTGTGTATAACAAGTGAAAGAATTCGAAATATTAACAATAAAACACGTTTCCATTTTCAGCGAATTATCGACATTTTTATTTTAATTTCTAATAATTCATTTCAACTAATGTCGTTACAAATGAGTATACTTTTTATTTCGTACACTAGAGACAGTGTGTTGAGTTCCATCACATTCCAAATTCTAAGTTTTAATGATTTGTTTAAATGAACTTGCAAACTTGAGGTTTGTGTTAATTCGGTAGTTGATTCTGACCTTCTGCCCTCTCCTTCTGGAAACGTCTCAGAAACTTCTAACAATGCATCGTCAACTTCATTCAGCATATTTTTAGCTATATATTCTCCGTGTTCCTGTGATTGACTACCTGGAAACAATTCGTGTCTACCAGCGGAGAGTCAATGAGAATTCTGCGTGAGCTTAAAAAAAATCATGACTACCATCTCAGTCAATGAAAAATCTGGTAGTGCTGGCAACAATTCATGGCTAAATCCTTGAATGTTCTAGAATATCATGTGAAACTTCAATCCAATCGAATTCCATTTAGGAAATTCCCAGAAAAAGTTACTAAAGAGAAAGACATAATATATTTTATAGGACAAAATCGGATTTGATCTTTGTCAAATTTTATTCCCCTGTCTTCTAACTCTTTCACAATTTTCTGGTCTTAGTTATAATCAAATAAAAGTCTTACTAAAAATAATAGTCCCGAAAGTATCATTTGCTATTTCTATTATTAATTTTAATTAATTAGTTAAATATTTTCGCAACATTCAGTACTTTGTCATTTTTTACGCTCTCTTTGCCATTGTTTGGACCAGTTGCCAAGTCAGACTGACCCCCTCTCTATTTAAAAAAATATACTCTAACAATCACCATTCTTTTGTAGTTGGTTTAAGACATTCGGCAATATTCGACGGAGCGCTACTGGAGCAGATTCTTTCGATTGGGAATTGCTAATCGAGATTTATCGATAAGCGACTAATATTTGTTCGCTCATTTAATACGGTTTTATAACGAAACTACCAGATTAAATTCGGTCCGTTATTTATTTTAATTAATATCAACGGCATCAGATATCGATAGTTGTCGCGGAATAATAATCCGCAGCTACTAATAATTTTTCTCTTCGTACGTTTAAAATTTTCCGATGATTTTTGCCCCTTACCGGGCAGGGCCGCCGTGAAGAGATAGAGAAAACTGTAGACTGATCTTACAATGTAAGAAAAACAGATGTCAAATGTTTATATCGTTTCCCTTTAAACTCTACCGGAGTATCAAAAGTCAATCTAGAAGAGAATTAATAACTATTAATAGTAGTATCAGTATAGCTAAAAGTGCATCAGTACCTTCTAAAATTCAGATACCCTCTTAGTTTGATGATTTTTAATCAAAATTAAGATAGGACTTATATAATTCTAAAATGTTGATGTTGTTATTTAAAGATAGGTACTAGTATATTGTGAAACAAGTATAAAAACATTTAGCTTGACAGAAGATCATGGCGACCCCATAAAATTTGTATTTACCATTTCTTGAATAAAAAAATCACCCACACCTGGCGCTACTTACATAACGACTAGGTCGAATAGTAACTTTACATCCTGAACAAAACCCATATGAATTCTATTGCCGTCATGCTATGACTTCTACGGAATATTTGAAAAAACGATGCTTTCGTAAATTCGCCATAGCTCATAGTTCCTTCTTTATCAGTTTTCTAAAATCTATAATCCCTTGTTTTCTTC